GTAACATGAATGAATGTTGTTTTGGGTTTTATATCATGATGAGGGCATGATTCTCAGACCCTATTCTTACTATTTCCAATTCTTTGTTTTACTCATGATTATAAATAGCCTGTCTCAGAATGTTTTCTGTTAGTTATGTTTGTTTTCCGCGATAAGAAGGGCAGTGTAAAAGTTAATGGAAAAATTCAGCATGTCTTCTTTTTGTCAGTCCAAATGTGAAAGTTGATGTCATGCACTGGTGTTCAGCCACCGAAGTTTTCATGTGTAATCATCTGCAGTCTATGTTTTCACATACAGGATAACAGCAGTGCAGTGAGGAAAATGAGAACAACCGCATCCAACCAGTTCTCACATGTGGCAGGGATGCATCCTCAGTACAAACTCAATGTAACTGGCCAGAACAGGAAGTTCCCAATCCTCAAACTGGCCAGGGATTCTTTAACAGATGCAAAACTTCCAATTCTATCAGATGGGATATCAGCATGTCACAATGAGCACTGTCCATTTCCCTATTTGCCTCTATTTTGGAGCCATGAAGACTACAGATACTAGAAGATGAGAAATGGATCGTGCTAGAATTAGATATAAACTTTGTCTTCATCTGCTACGTTGGCAACACAGCTCACTACACTGAGTCATTGCTCTGTGATTAAGAGAATACATCAATAATGAGTTAGGTATACTTCAGACATATCTGCTCACTTGCACCTGGGTTTAGACACACCATTAGTAAAGGCAGCACAGTTAATTCTGTAATTTAGAAAGTATATCACTTTTTTGTTTGGTGAGAGGTACAGGATTGTCAATTAGAAAAAAATTAAAGCTTTACTGCAACACTGCAGTAATATAGGTTTAATAGTTACAAGTACACTAAGCAACTTAATACACTGAGACAGCTTTGCACTGCCAACAGTCCAACCACAAAATATGCTCAACCCATTTTAATCTTGCAATCAAATCCTTGAATAAGACAAATATTACAGATTACCTGTACCCACCTGTGAATCCTGAAATCACTGCTGAAACATATGTTGGATGACAAATACATTTGTTGCAACAGCCCTTCTCTCATTCTGGACTTCATTTATACCTTAATAATTTTCAGTTAGGATCAGTCTAAAGCATGCTGACTTATAATTTCTTTGAAAATAGAAAATGCACACATACCCAAGGTATGAGCTATGTGATGGGGAAGCTGCCCTCCCCTGTGTAATGCTATAATGAGACAGAAAGTACCACAGTAATAGCACAGTGGCAAAGTCTTTGGCTGCAGCAAATGAGAACGAGCCCAAGTACAGCAGCTGCGGAGCAGAAATGAAGGAAAAGAGCTACTGACCTTTGGAAGGCCTCAGGTACAGAGCAATCCCTAGCAAGAGATGCCCTTGCCTCCACTGCCAACCCTTATATGCGGTCTGGGAAGGGGCAGATCCTGGCTTCACCCTTTCTGGTCCCTGAGGTACTTTGCATACACCTGAGCTCCCTGGCTGGCCCTGCCTTCCCACCAGGTGATCAATCACTGCTTCATGCCATGACTTAGCATTTCCACTACAACCTACGTGAAGGAAAAAACTACCTGGACTTGTGAAAACAATAAACAGAACACCTCAATTACTTCAGTTTCTTTTAACCAACTACAACATCTGTATGAACAGTCAATTATAAGTGACTGCTCTGAACTGGAACAATCTCACCCACCTTGAGGAGCTCTTCAGTTCTCAATTCCTATTATGCTAATCCTAATATTCCTATTATCAATCCTAGTGCTGTCTGATTTTCAGTAGAAACAGCACGCAGCTCCTTCTGTCTTACCTGCTTGACGGTTCACACTTAGGAATCCACTTAAACACAATTCTTTGTGAACAATGAAAATGGAAACCCACATCTTTCTTCCTCTTTCTTTCTCTGATCTCCCTTGCTGATGGAATTGTTGCTGATTAGACAATATTCCTTGTTCACTCTCCTCTGAAAATTTTGATGTTTATACTAGGAAATAAAGGTAACAAAAAGAGACTGCTACTTGAAAAATTCAGTTTGAGAGGATAACCCTCAGAAGTTATTTCATACTGTCAAGAAAATACTCAGCAGGAGAGTTGGATCAAAGCTTAATTTTGTGCCCAGTGTTACTAAAGAACATTTTCTATCTGTTCTTATTTACATTTTCTCTGCTGGGTGGCAGTAATGGTTAAAAACCTCAAGCTGTTTGCCAGCATCAATACATAATACCAGTCCCCCTCTTGCTAAAGCATCCAGGACTGCTTAGGGGAAAGGGGACAGAATTATGTCAGAAAATAGCAACTTCTGAAAGGATAGGAGGAAGCTTTCCCTAAACAATCTTTTCCTCTCCCTTCCCTATTGTTTAGAATATTCCCAGACCTCAGAAGAAGTTTTCTGATTTCTATCTGTACTCGATTTGTTGGGAATATCTCAGTCTCTCAAACTTTCTTTTAAGCACCACATAAACAAAACGGCTATCACTACTGAAGTATAATGAGATCTGCTGTCATCTAGAAGTGAAATGGTGAGAAAAGATAAAAGGAGGTTAAGCCAGGAAAGTGGGCAGTTGTGGTCAGGGGAAGGAATAACTTCTAAAGATTATCTGAGAAAATGAAAAGGGTCAGAAATACATCATGTATACATCAGATGCCACATTTTTTTTCATATAGACACGCAGTTGGAGTTGAATACTCCAGCCACTGAGACTTAGAGCTGCCAGGCTGCAATGTACCTGATAGAAATTAATTCCTTAAAACTTCATTCTAGTGGTTGCTCACATCAGTACAGTTCCTGGGGTTGAAAGATGACTGAGAGTTCCACAACAGCTACTCTGACTCTGAGCCTGTTTTATCAATTCAAGGTCAAAATACAGCAAGCATGTAACAGCTACTGCATACAAAACTCTTTTCAACCACATATACACACTTTGACATTAAACTATGGTTCTCAGTTCTGTTTTCAGTGCAAAAGAGTGTTTAGATTATTTATATTCAGAGATTAAAGATCACACTTGCAAAGTGCTGAGATTATTTGTTACGTGTGCTATTGAAATTGGTTAGAAAGTATACTGTTGGTATGCACCCTCAAGCATATGAATTTGTATATGCATATAGGTTTTGTTTTTTTTTTAAATCTTTAAAATGTACTTGGATGTTTTATGGTTATGTGATAAATAATAGCTAATTGGAATTTCTTAGAGTGGCAGAATGCCAGCAATAAACAGATCAAAGATTTCCCAATGCTAGTGTCCATGAATATTAAGCAATGACATTTCCTACTCTGTAGTGAGTGTCATGATTCTGGTCATGAATCCATAAGGATTCATTTTGTGTTTCCTGCATACAGGCACGCACAGGCTCACAGAGCAGATGTGAAAGAGAAGACTAATGCAATTCTTCCTCCAGTTCAGCAACTGTCAGGGTACTCTGAAGTCGACTCTGTGACTGACACAGCCAAAAAATTCCTGAGAGAATAAGAAAGACTATTAACAGCTCTGAGAAACCTCTTCCTCTGAGTAATTATCCCATAGAGACAGTGGGTCTTAGCCATCTTAACCAAACAAACAGTTCTGAGAAACTAAACATGTTCTCTTCAAGATTACAGTGAATGAAAAAAAAAAAAGCATGTTGTGTTAAAAGCAGTTTGAAGCATATGTGCTTCCATCAGTGAAACACTTGGAGCTCTTCCTGCTTTGTGCATCAGATCAGAGTTTCCATACTCCCAAAGGAAACAAAGCATTGGCTGAATAAAAGAGAAAGCCCCATTTTACTCTACTGTTACCTTTTCACAGCTGGTTTGATCAAACAGGAGTGAGGCATGGGCACACGCAGTGACTGTTACAGCCACCAGGAAACAGTGCAGTGGCAACTCAAATGGGCAGCTGTTCTATGTCTGGGACATGCTGGTCATACCCATCAAAGGAACCAAAAAGGGAAGTTGTTTCAAAAACTGTATTGCTTTGTCCAACTCTTTGAGCTTGCTGGCAAATGAAAGATGTGATCTAGTCCCAGAGCAATGAAAGCCATTAATAAAGCAAAAATCTACCTGACTGAAGGCTTAAGTAAGATTTCAGAAATAATAGCCTTTTTCATTAAAAATCAAAAAACCAAAAAAACAGACAACAACACAAAACACTCCTTACATTGTCATCTCAACAGAGGGTGAATGCACACAGTAACATTTACTTAGGTATATATGAAGTAATGAGCAGTAATTGTTTCCTCAGCTGCCTCTCACGCATTTTAAGCTGTATCCAAGCAAGAAAGTCAACGGGTAGACTGGGAAAAGTAAGACAGTTTTGTGCTACAACTCAACTGTTGGTCCTCCCACAGATTTCAGATTTCTCAGCTCAGTTTTCTGTGCTCCTTTACTCTCTGGAAAAGCATCAGCGAAAACACTTCTGGTCTCTAAGGTTTCTGTGTTATGTTTCTTATGTTCCAAGACAATGATTAGTACAACCAAACATTGGTTGCAAGCTGAAGTTCACTACTGGTGCATTACTGTGGTTCTATTTGCTGCTAATAACATTAGAGCATCTCCTAAGAGAACATCTTGTAGCATCACTCATTTGCATTGTCATAGTGTGCAGATGGTCACAGAACATAGGCAAGCAGGAACCAGAGCAGGAGGAATACATCCTGCTTGAATTTCTCCTCTAGTGCTAATTGTAATGCATTTGGGTTAGTTTTTTTGTTTCTGAAGTCTACAGCTCTGGGTGGACACATCCAAAGATGTAGCAAGGGAAATATAAGGGAGCAGCTGCACTTAGCAGCATGCCAACTACCAAGTGAGCAGATCTGCCCATTAAAAAAAAAATCTATAAAATGTTACTGCAGCTCAGACTAATGACAATTCATTTCTGTGCAGAGTGAGTTCTCTTTTGAAATTTACGAGGTTGGCATTTTGATGCAAATACATTTGTTATTAAACAACAACTGAAATCTATGCACTTCAGCAGATTAGCTATTAATACAATGTACAAATTCACAAAGAGGAAGCAACACTTCTTTTCCATTTGGCATATGCAATTTTATTTCTGGATTAGTTGTGAGAATTACAGAATTAAAACTTTTAAAAGTTTAACATGTGTACCCTGCCTGACAAACTAATTGGCATACTGGAATAATACTGCAAATAAAATGAAGTCAACAAAATTATTTATCTCTATATAAGCACAGAGTTCTCAGAAATGTAATTGTTACTTTTCTGTGTTACAGAAAGGAGGGCTTCCAAATGTTGAAGAAGCAAGACTTCAGAGTGAAACTGATAAGCCAAAGAACTATGAACTTCGGATCTTACTAGTCCAGGTAAGAAAAATCTACACACAATATGAGCAACCATATACAAACAGGCAAATACAAGGAAAGAAGAAAGGCAACTGCATTTCCAAGGGGACACACTGACAATATAAAGAAATGACTAAGTCTACAACTGTAATCAGACTTCCTTATAGTCAGGCAAATATAGATTCTAAGGTCTGAAGACAATTTCTTAAGCAGAAGACCATCACCAACAATGAAATTGTATGCTTTCTGACTACACAAGTTAGTTGTGTGTAGATTTACTGAGCACAAAGTACACAACAAGACTGTGATTCAGACCCAAATGTTCCTAACTCTGTTATGGACCAATAGAAATATACATTAGCATAACTGACTGCACACAGTGATGTTGCTGGACTACCTGCTTGATATTTATTTTGCTGGTAGAGTATTCTTTATATCATATAAGCATCACCAAAATTATTCCAAATAACACTAGCACAGCTGGTATAGCTAGTATAGAGGATCTTCCACAGGCAGGATTTTCACAATCAAAACAACTCAAAACCAAGCTACAGAAATGTACATTACAAGGATATCAGTGAGAACAGAAATTACCCATATACATCCCAATCCCCTGTGGAAAATCACTATATAGAGAGTAAAAATATAGTCCTTCTCGCACCCAAACTACCCTGTGGATGTGTAACCACAAACGTTGCATGTGGGAAAAGACATCTGTGATCTATCTTCATCTGTCATTTTAGTGTCTATTTCCAGGAAAACTGCAAGATAATTTTTGATATTTGTCTTCTAAAAATAAAGAAAAATATGTATTTTGAGTTCTCACAGATAAAGCTGTGTTCACTGGCAGCCCTTCTCAGTGCAATTTAAACAATTACTTTGCTGTATGTCTGAAGAATTACTTGAAATTAATCATATAACCCAAGGAATATGAAGTTCAATCTGCAGATTCCAATTGTTCATGTTTCTTTAAAATAAAAACGTATTTCATGTGACTTTCGATTTTCTATGGAATTCCAGAGCAGCAGGTTTGTTCAGGGAAAAGACCAAATTTCTCTTGGGTAGTCTTCTTTAAAAAAAGGTCCTTAAGAAAAAAAAAAAAAAAGAAACAGATACTGTTAGCTGAAGTGCAGTAAGAACAAAATTGTGTAACTAGATTTCAGTTGGCCAACTTTTATTTGCATTGTAGCAATTGATAAAACAAATACCACATGCAACAAGAAACCTTACTCTGGTTTTCCAGACATCTATGGCTCTACTTACAACTATTACAGTAGAGAGAAAACATTCATAGTATACTGAGCCTGTAAAGCATGGGTAATTTTGGGACAAATCAACAAAGGTGAGATTCAGTGAAAACCACACAGTTGTGATCAGTTGTTCAGAAGCACACTGCTGAAAAATACAAAAGAAAACTTGTTCTTTGGACAAGCCTTAACAAAGAAATACTTATATAGTTATGAATTCACAAAGCCACAGCAGTGGTCCACAGATGAGCAAAAAAAAACATTAGATTAATACTAATCATTTAGGCAGAGCCTATTTATTTTATAGTCTGGCAGATGACGAACCAATTCTGTGGAGGATCTCCAGAGGACATTACAAATACTCATTTTTTTAGTAGGATAGGCATGGCAAAAGCCCAAAGAACACTCCAGCGTGGCAGAAACAAAGTGGAGCGTAGCATGCAATGCGCAAGCAGGCACAAGCTTGAAATATAATGCGGCCCCAAAATGGACAGTCATGTTAACCCGGGTCTGGCTATTCACCATGAGGGAACACTGCAGTGGCTACAGCTGCAGGAGATACCCTTGTCTGTACACAGGTGCACTGCCTTCAAAAACCTTTCTGTGTGTGTTGGGACTGACTGCTGAGGTGGGGATAGTAGGGCTAAATATACAAAATATGAAAACAACAGAAAAATAATGACAGTTATTAAACATCAAACAATTTTACAGCAGTTTTCAGATGGTGTTAGTCAGTAAAACTACACTGATTTACAGCAAGCAATAACTGGTATTCTACATAGAACAAGATTTGGGGCTAACAGTGCCCGTAAATCTTTCCTCCACCATTTTATTTAGTGGCAATGATATCTTGAAATCGTTTTAATCATTGCTTTAATCAAGCAACAAAACCTTAGTTTTGCTTTTTAAACTTTGTCCAATATAAAACAAGTTATATCGACTTGATAACTGCGTCACTCTATGTCGTGGATTCTTGTTTCATACCTGCACTGACTATCAAAACAAACAAACAAACAAAAAATCATCAAACCAAAGCAAAGCAACAACAAAAACAATGAAAAAACCCAACCCCACCATTAGAGATAGTAACTGTGATCTAATATAAAATAAAGGCTGAAAAAAACACCAAAGGAAAAAAAACAAAAGCCCACACCACAGAATCAAACATCTCACTGCAATGAGGAATGCTTATGGACATTTGTTTATCCAGATTCCAAACGAAGATCCATTGCATTGTATTAAGTGATCCAGATTTGAGATCAGCAATTTCTCACCCCAAATTCCTTCAACTCTAAACCAAAAGCGTAAGAGTGTAGTCATGTACACCCAAATTTGAGATTCATCATTTTGAGAACTCTGAGAACCACTGCTGATAGCTACTTGTAACTAACAAATTAGCAACCATGTGATGCAAAAGGTTATATAGTCCACAGTAAATGAATACATTAAGCACTATCTGTCCCATAAAAAGCATACTGTTGTTACTAGTCTTTTAATCCCCACAAAAAGAAAGCTTATGTACTTACATTTCATCATCATATTCCTTTGGAGGTGACACTGCAATGACTAAGTCAATCCAATCCTGCAACAGAAATGAACAGGAAATGTGTGCTGCTAAACATTCATTTTAGAGGTGTTTAATGGACAACCATGAAATATCAGACAGATGATCAGAAAGACAATCTATTCCTGGAAAGCCACAGGGAAAAGGGAGCCTAAGGAGATGCCTGGTCCTCTAAAATACAGTTTCAAGATAGAGCTGTTTGATTTTTATCCTAAAATTAAAGAAAAAATTTACTGGTCTTGCAATAAGCTTTCAAAAAAAAAAAAAAAAAAATCATTCTAAGTATCATACTATGTTTGGTCATTTTACCAATTAATACAGTTCAGTACTGTAGCCAAAGTGCCCTGTTGCTATTTGCACATTTAGAAATCAAAGATTAGATAAGCTATTATCAAAGTTCAGATCAGCATCCAAATAATTTTCAATATTAAAGAGAGATTCCACAGATAAAAGTATTACAGTCACTCAGAATGTAATGTGTTTAAGTACAAATCTGATGTGTGGCTGTCATAAATTTTTGGAATAAATTACAGGCAAGACTTTCAGAGTTGTTGTATACCAATATCACCCACACATTTCAACTCACTCTAGTGATATGGCATACTGGTACTTTTGACATTTTCAACTTTACTTCTATTGCCGTGACAACATTGTGAAAGAAAAATACACAATACACAGAGTTACAGGTAGAATGGAAAAGTATTCCCACATACTTACACCACCCATATTCCAAGCATTTGCCAGAGTTGCTTGTGCTTCTGCCAGCCTGCAGTCAATTACTATCTTGCCATTTACAGCCAGTATTTCATCCCCTTTCACTATGCCTCCTGGTGACAGACGAACATGGCATACATACACATTATCAAAATAACATCTGCGACAGACGTTGGGTATTTATGCAGTACTGAGTATGATGATTATTATTAACTAGATGTGAGAGCCAACACTGAAAGTGGACACATTGTATGGGGACTGCTGAATCACAGCCTGAACCTCTGATTGATCACCTGAGGCAAGCAATTCACCTCTGCTGCTGGAAGGGGTGGAGCCTGGCTGCACCTCTCCTAGACCCATTTAAGAACTGACTACCAGTGGGGAAGTATCTCTTCTGGAGATCTGCTCCACTGGAGTTGCTTGTGTGAGTTCAGGATAGGGTGAGTGTTCTTTTCTGCTCTAGTGTAATAACTACATAAACCAAGCTCTCAGATATACTATATCATTTGTATATTCATTGATTAAACACACGTGCATTATCTACAGGCAAAAACAAAAGGAATTAGCCAAGAAGTTTAGGAAGACTTTCTGTAGTAACAGTTTGCCTATCTGGGCAATATATCCATACTCCCTGTAAAGTGTGGTTGATTGTAGTCTGCTACCATTATTAAGAGCAGCATTACTTAAAAACCTGGATGTCTAAGTGGTGTTTGTCAAGGCTTTACAGGACTCCCATTCCTTTCCAAAAGTGTGTGTCATCTCTAGTTCTTTAAACTTATTTTGGTTTGCTAATCTAGTCAGCTAATTGGGACTGGGTTTGAGGAGGGGAAAGATACATGGTAAGGGGTCAGACTCAGCTATGAAGAGAGGTCAACAACAGGGAGGAGTCAAAGAAAAACAGAGCACCTGAAAAAGAGACTAAGGGGCTGAGAGCTTTTCAGAGTAAAGTGATTTGAACACGTCTGTGGCTGGGACAAAGTCATAGAAGGCAATCTAAGGAGATGTCCTGTCCATCTACCTGTTCATCAACATGGTTCTCAAGGTTAGGATGTGAGAGACCAACCCAAAGGAGCATACCCTCCAGTTATGCATGTTCTCATGGCTTTCAGAGCTAAGCTGTCAGAAGGCCTTTAGATGGATTTTGGGAGTAAAGACATGTTTTACAAAACAAATTACCATTGGAAGTAACACTAAGAACAAAGCTAAACAATGTAGTACAGCTATTAGCTAGCATCTGCTTTGCATATTAATGTAATTACAAATGTACTTGTTTGAGAAGTGTGAAATAATGAAGACCAAATTTGACTTTCTTTAATGAACAGAATAAGTGATTTTTTGATATACAACTAGAAAAAGGGGAATCCTTGAGAACAGCTCTACATTTTTGGTCCATGTTATTACAGTTTTTACCATGATAAAAACACAAGAGTGACTATTTCTTAAAGACAGTTTTTAAAATTTATATATTTATCAGCTTATCAACACTTTTCAAACCGTGAACCTCTCTTTGTGCTGCTCTTAGAGCACAGACAGAATTGGTTGCCTTGGACAGTCTAAGTGAGCTTCTCAGTAACAGCTATAGCTCTGAAGTCAGCTAAGAGATCAGCCAGTGCGAGAAGCCACTTTGCAGCAATGCTCAAATTCCCCATTGTTACTCACCATGTTTGTCTGCAGCACCACCCTCATAGATTGCAGATACAACTATCTTTCCAACAGGAGAATCAATTCCTCCCTCAACTGCAAGGTCTAATGATCCTTCCTATTGAACAAGAGTTTTAGTGAAGAAGCTGTGAATTTTTGCTTAATCTTTCATTCTTTCCTGTAAACATACTTTGCTTATATGAACTCTTTAAGTATCAATCAGTGAGGTAGTATTTACCTTTCTAATGCGTAAGAGGCGTACGTCTTTTCCCACAATCTGCTCTGGAGTAAACTATAAAAATACATTGTTAGTTATTTCCATCTCAGCAACGTAAAACAAGCTGATCTATGTAGTTGACTGGTGAAAAGGGTCTTTTGCCTCCTCTAGAATAGTCTTAGAGGAAGAGCAGAACACTCGCGTATTTTTCCAGTAAGAAATCTTCCTTTCATAAGGTCTAGAAGAAACAGACAAAGTCCAGCAAGCCAGCAAGAAAGACTATTACCCCTCCTAGGCCTTATAATCAAGGATGTTTGTATTTTTCCAGTGTATATTATATTAAAATAAGATGTATGAATTCTCTCCTTACCATTGAATGTGGATCAAAGTCTTCCACATATTTCTGGAAGCCCTGTGAATAAAATAAGACAGTTATAGAAACATGTGCATGAGCCTCACATTAAACACACAAACTCCATTTTAGCTATTAATGAGAAAACATAATTCTGTAAGATAAGAAAAAAGACTGTAAATGGAGAAAAGCACAGAAAGGTAGCAAATAGTCTGTCCTGACAGTCAGAAGAGATTTTAAAACCTTACAGTAAGTCAGCAGTTAGAACTGGCCACACTATGGAACAATTTTGAGGACCTGTTTACTACTCTTACTGGTTCCTTTCTACACCTGATGGAGCTGAACATATTTATCACAGGAGAATATGTTCTGCCATGTTCTTCTAAGTAACCTTTCTTGGGACTGTCTTCACGTTGGGCACTGTTTTACACTGACAGAAGTGACATTGTGATTTGCACATCACCAGCTCTGCTCCATGAACTCTAAGTTGTAAGACCAGACTCAAACTCTTTCGTTCCTCCTCTTCACGGCATTTCAGGGAGTTGGTTGCAGACCATGAGCAAACAAAGGACAAAAACCAAATTTGTTTGTATGCAGTTTTGCAGAGAATTGAGAGTCCGCATCTTAGTATTTAAGTAAGAATTGGTTGTGCTGCACTTATGAACTGCTACTTTTGGTGAACTAAATATTTGCAGTTTGATCACAGGCTTCAAATGAGGACAGAATTTCATCTTATGGGAAAAAAAAAATCATTCATGATTTTAGAAAGCAGATTAGTATTACAAACACTTTTTCTAAACTGGAAGAGACATTTTACAATGATAGTTAGCTAAATAGCTAACTAATAGCTGAATTTGTAGAGATCTCTGGTACAATTGTTGAAGTAGACATCTATGGTCTTGGAGCAAACAACTTAGAGGAAAGGACTCCAATCTCAGCCAAGTCACTAATTCATTACGTAATGTAAAGCAAGTCATTGAACTCTTTGTCCCAAGTCATCCTCACAGAAAACAGATGTTGCCCTTGAAGAAAATTTTCCTGGGAAAGCCACTTTTAAGCAGGACAAAAACTAAAACTTCACAACAAAAAAAACCTACAAATGAAGAAATTACATGATCTGGATTCAACAAATGTACAAATACAGCCATGATAAAATGAACACATCCTCTGAACAAGTGTCATAAATTTACAGTGTAGGCAGCGCACACAGTATGCAAGCAAGGGCTAATAAACCAAGCAATACTAACTGGAAACCACTGGGCTATTTCTGCATCCCACACATTACAGGGGAAAGTTATGAACATCCCTGACAATATTGTCAATTACAAGAACATTCAAAGGAATAAATATCTGTAGAATACAGAAGATTAAAATGTTTGTCTACACTGAAACAACTGTCTGGACTTCTAGATGAAAGTTGATGCTGCTGCTTTGAATGGAAAAATAATTTTTTTTCTAAGAGCACATAAGCCAATGGCATGCTCTGATTGACATAAGGAGAAAAGAAGAATTAAAACATACTAATATTCAGTTTCAATCAAAGTCTTCATGTTTGATTTGCTATCTCAGTTGAATCCAGTTCTCCATTCTGACTAAGCGTTCAGCTCATGCCATCTGAAGTCACCTGAATCCTCAGTGGGTCTGTTCATCAAAATTGATCTTCTCAAATGGACACTTGAAAGATCTTATTAAGTTAGCATATGTATGGTGGACAATCTTGTCTGGGGGGAGTTTTTCAGTGGAGTAATTAAAATCTTAAATATTTGACATTTTGCTAGCATTTCACATGTTAACTTGACTGCACCTATGAGACAGCTCTAATTCATCATTTTCACAAGGATACATAATGGTTAACCTTGAAGTTCTCAAAAAAATCATTTTTATTTTCCTTCTTCTGCATTACAATTTCACTTATCTGGAAAAGGTGCCCATGTAATGATTCTACATATTAATTGACCCATGTTGAATATCAAGAAAGACTAAAACTAAACAAAAGAAGGAAAAAGTCATGACTGATCTTCATGCTTTGCCAAAGGTTCACCTTGTGAGCTTACAACTTTGCCTCAACACTTCCATATAATGTGATAATGCACATAACTTAGCTTGCACTAGTAAAGCTGTTTTGGATGGAAAATGGCACCTTTAACAGCAGCAGAAAACTTAAGCACAAAGTTCACTTGACAGCACAATCTATTAAAACAGAGCAGTCAACCAAAGAGGGGGAGATGGAAGTTTTAGCACTATGGTTATTTAAAGCTGCACAGAGGAAGGCAATAAATACAATAATATGGTAGAAAGTCCTACAAAATATGTATACATTACATATATATTATATATATAATGCTATATGAATAGGTGCTTTCCACCATCAGTGCCTCTGATTTCCTACCAACAACTACGTCATGATAATAGATTTATTTGTTTAACTAAGAAAATATTTTATTACTGAAAGCATTGTAACTGGAAGCTAAAAGAGGAAAAAAAACAGCTGAAGGAATATATTTTTAAAAAACCACCCAATCTCAGGACATTTATCAGTGTTCAACAGTCTTAAATATTGTGTTATGTAAGTAGCTACAAGATGGTTCAACCTGAAGCTCCTGTCTAGGCTACAGAAGCCACATGCACACTCTGCAATCTTACCAAGGCTAGCAGTTTTCATGCACTAGTGCTGCCTTAAGTCCTCTGTTTTAGAAACTGAGCAACAGGATTAGAAAAGAGGGTTTAAAATCTGCAACCAGTCAAAAGAAGTACCACACAAAACATGGAAAATGTTATTTTACTTGTTTTTTGTTAGATCTAAATGATGAATTGTAAACCACCATCCTTTTAAACATCTCTTGTGGCTGCAAAAGAAAGAACACGGCCAAACCAGGTATTAACTCCTTGCTGTAGACAAATATCACCTGATAACAAGAACTCAATGTTTTTTTGCTCTTCTTGGGACTGAATCATACTTGCACTTTTTAGTATATGGTCCCTACACAACTGCAAGTGAGAGACTACACATAGCAAAATGATATCAAATCATAAAGGAACTATGTAGGTAGTGCACATTTCCATATCCCAAAACTGTCGAGCCCCTTCCCAGCCACTTAACAACAAGGAATAATTTTTTTCTGTTCAGATGATCTCGTTGTAACTATGGTTAACAACTGAAATTTCTGACTATGTCTTATTGCTGCTACATCTGATACACTTTAGCTGCAGTCCTGCAGAATCAAGCTTCACATCTTGCAAGAAAAGCTTAAATATTAACTGTTCCTTTCCAAAAATCCATATCAAACCACAGTGGAGCTCAGGAGAGAAATCATTCACAATTGCATCAAGGCCTTCTAACACAAAAACAGATGTTTGTGATAGCTGGGAGAGAAGACTAGTATCCATGTTGGTTTTGCCCCTCTGAAAACCTTACCGCTGAATCACAGCCATCCTCCCCTGTTCTCTGAACCAAAACTTAACTAGCCTTGCCATGAGTGTATTTTCATTCGCTCCAGCACTATGGAGCCACACAGTTGAAACTGATTTTGATCCAGAGAGCTCTATGCATTCCAGGCCACATTCAACATTTAATTTCCACCCGTCACTTTATAAGTGAAAATAATTTCATTTTCATGAAATATTAAGAAACCTGGAAATCCTAGCCTGAATTCAGTTACTATAAAGATTTAAGTATCAACAGTCATCAAAGCTCCTGGATAACAGGAGATTTGGAAAGTTTTACCCATTCTTGCAAATACATATATGTATAGATACATATACACGCACACACTATATATGCAAACATTACATATATAAAAAAATATATAATATATAAAATATATATGCATGCATTCTATTCACAACATATAAGACAGAGTCCGTGCAAGTCTTATTTTACATACTACTGCTGTGGCTTCAAATGCAGCCAGGATGAATAACTCTTATAGCATTAAGATATAAATAGAGCAAAGAGGTAACTGGTCTGCAAAAACAATTCACAGACAGATGTTTTTCTCAAAGTCCTATTAGAATATTACTCTCAATGAAACTGTGATCTTCCAACTCATGTAAGGCAGTTGAGGAATCAGGATTACTGATATCTGAAACATTTTAGTACTCTTGTGGTCTGGACAGTGTGCATAGATGCATAACAAATGGTAAGAAATTTCCCTATGAGAATGAATCTTATTGCCAGTTTGTCACACTAACTGTACACAACGACAATAAACAAAACAATATTTCCATTTTATATCAAGACCTTCTCATCACGCACAAGTATTACCAAATTTTCATACCACTTAATATTTCCGTATCAGGTATTTATTTTTCAACTTTTGATTGTATTAACTGTAGATTATGCCTTTTACACTTTTTAATCCTCCTCTGTGGAATTTCAAATTGCACAGAAGTTATAAATTTCTAAACATAAATATAATGGAAGTTCCTTGCATACAACTGAAGGAAATAACTATGCTAGAATGATTTTTATCTTTTTTTCAAGCTCATCCATCTGCCTCATCTTGAGCAACTTACAAAACCTGCTTTAATTTTTCATTTCAATCTATTTATAATAGAGAAGTTTCACAGCAAATATGTCTATAGAAGAGCTGATTTGATAGCATTTGAATCTTTTCAAACTTAATTGGGAAAGTAGAGGAACAATTGTGGAAGAAAGTAACAGAAAAATCCATCCCATTGTCACAAAATACAGCTACGAATGCTGTGCATATCATTTATTGTCAGATATAGCATAAGCTTTTAATTAAATGAATGGAATGCAAATGTGATGTTTTGTGCTACATGAAAAGCTCACACTACAATATACAGCCCTCCTCTTGTAACTGTGTACATATATATGCACACATCTACACACATACATATAATTGACACATAACACCAATGGTAACAAAACAAGCCAAAATTATCCTCAATAATAACGTTGTAACTACTGATTTCTCCATCAGTTATCTTAGATGAAATTTCTGGGCTGATGTGTGGGAGTTACCACTTGCCATAACAGTATTTCCTTCTTTTCAGAAAGCCATAGCTTATCTTCCCTCATAAAACAGTTCTTGAAG